TACACACATACACACATGACATAGCCTTAATTGAGTTTGTTTTAAAAACTCAGCCTTCTTCTTCTTTTGTCCCTTTCAAAAAAAAAAAAATAGAAAGACATGGTTATTTGCTGTTGAGTGCTGTTGCTGTTTGAAATTTTAAATTTCAAAAAAATTCTTTTTTTTTTTCTTGGCAATAGAGAAATTACAATTGATAAATTGGTTTCACTCTTTGTTTTTTTTTTTTTCTTGTTACTGTTGTTATACGTATCCAAGCTTTTTCTACTACTGCCTGCTTTCTTTTCATTCTATTACTCCAGATCCGGTATTATCCTATCCATGTATCCTATTAATAGAAGAAACTCTTGATTGACAGTCTCAATATTACTTGCAATATTGGTGGCAAAATATTCTCTTCTTCTATTTCTCTTTCCCTCTGTGGTGATTAAGCTATCTTTCCATTTGTGTTGTCTTTGTGTACAAGTGTCGTATATGCACATTCTACGACACTCGCCTTTTTTTCCAATCAACTATTACACAAACACAACACAGTTTAGTCTTGTATACATATACGTGTACGCCTGTATAAATATAGTACGCTGACTGTATCTAGAAAGAAAAAAGTGTGGGGAAAAGAATACATCAAATATTGCACATCAGTCTTTTTTTTTTTTTTCTCTTTTTTTTTTTAACACCCAATCAAAAGAGAAAACTTTTAACTCAAGTGAGGGGAAGATAAAAGCAAAGCTGATAATACCACACTGTTGACTGGTCATATTATTGCGCATACAAACGGACAAAACGTAACTCACAGTATCTCTTGGCTCACGGAGATAACAATTTAAACTCATTACATGCATTGACTATATCATGCTACACACGTTTTCTCCATACATTTTGTTAACATAAAATGGTGTGCTCACGTGCAGTTCGAATTATGTGTCTTAAAACTCTCCATCTACTTGGAGAAGTATACCCCAGCCCTTACTAGGAGCTTACCCCAGAATCAACTTCCAAATTAAAAAAAAATGTACGTCTAACAAGCGTAACAAAATATAAAAGAAAAAAAAATTACTAATATATGGTAGTGCATGTAGTCCAAATAAGTACAGAAAATCCTGAGTACAAATCACGTGAGCGAAAAAAATAAAAATCAAACCCTTTGTCTGTGTTCATTCCCCTCACAACACAATTCTAGAACTGTCCACACATATTTTTATGCGAATTCTAATCAATACCAGATATTACTACACATTAACGAAGGATACTACTGCACATACAACTGCTACTATTGGATTGTCAGCACTGTACCCCTCTAGCTCATACTATCTTTGGTGTGATTACTCTTCTCTATTACGTCATTGGTTAAAATTGCTTCTTGTTGCCTTTGTGTAATCAAAAAGAAGTTTTTAATCAGCCTCGACCTCGAGAATTTCAACTTCTCAAACACGTAGCATACACGCACTCCTTGAATGTGCAACGGATAAAGTATATAGCTAGAGAATTATCATTACATCTGTAGCATTCCTTGACGAGCTTTATATATATATATACATACAAGTAGACAAGATCTTGCAAAGCCGCAATTTATGATCGTGTAGAATTTCAAGATAAAGTGTTTTCTATTGCATATAATAGTTAATACACAAAATTTCAAATAAACCAGCCATCAGACCATAGTAGAAGACGACAGGCAAAAAAAAACAAAAAGAAAACAAAACAAAAAAAAAAAAAATTAATATAAACAGCAACCCTGGAATAAATAAATCCTTATTTCCGTTCTTTCTTCTTTCCACTGGAGCTAACAACAACTACAACACTGGCCAAGTCCACTATCCCCATCTCCAACTGAATCAATCGCTACATCACAACCAGTAGAATTGCCCAATGCCTTCTGCTCCTGATAATCAACAACAGTCTACAGAAGACTGGTTTAGTCCGTTGCCCTTGGACGAATACTTGAAAATTAATGAATTGGCTAGACAAGATGTGCCTAAAACTAGACCAATTGACCCTAATGATAAACTAGGTGACTATGACATCAGATGTGGTCCCATTTTACGTTTAGCTGGTACCTTGGAAAACAATACAACCAACTACAGAGGTTCAATCATGTTGGTGGTTAAAGATTCCCCGCAGGGAAATCCACCTCCAATCACTTACAAGATTGGACCTGCTTCTGAATCTGTGTCCAATGGGGAATTTGGCACTGGCGAATTTGCAGTAACCAAGTACTATGAAGAAGATGGGTATTCCTTCTTTAGATACACAATTGAATTGCAATTGGCCAAGTACGAACAAAAAGTTGAATACTACATTGACAAGTTCTTCAAGAAATCGTTTCAGTTTTTCATCCCCAGTGTTGACGAAAGTATGAATGTCATTTCGTATTCATGTAATGGGTTCACTTTGAGTTGTGATGCATCGGAATTCAAGTCCTCACTTTGGTATGATGTATTGGCCAAGCACTCACAACAACATTATCATGTGATGTTGGGTGGTGGAGATCAAATCTACTCTGATGCCATTAAATTACACTCGAAAAAGTTACAAGAATGGACTCAGATGCATAATCCAATTAAGAAAAGTACTGCTCCAGTCGATGACAAAATCTTGGCAGAGTTTAACAACTTTTATTTGAATCATTATATGAATTGGTTTGGAAAGGGGTTTTGGAAAGGTACTGCATCTCAAGTCGTTGAAGCTTTATTTCCATTGACAATGTCCCAAATCCCCCTGGTTAATATTTATGATGATCATGACATTATCGACGGATTCGGATCCTACCATGACTCAACCATGCAAGCACCAATTTTTTCAACCGTTGGTAATGTAGCATACAAGTACTACATGTTGTTTCAACATCACATCAACCCCGAGGAAAAATTACACTTGAGTGATCCTTCATGGGTATTGGGTAAAGAAGGTCCATTCATCAAACAAAAAAACCATTCAGTGTTTATGAGATTGGGTAAAGAAGTAAGTCTATTGGGGTTGGATTGTCGTACTGAACGGAAATTGAAACAAATTTGCCATCCTCAAACCTACCAGATCATTTTCAACAGAATGAATGAAACATTGAAAGCCAATGGCGATGTGAAACACTTGTATGTCATGCTTGGAGTGCCCATTTTTTACCCAAGATTAGTATGGTTAGAATGGTTGTTGACCTCAAGAGCAATGGCACCATTGCGTAAATTGGCCACCAAGGGCGTCATCAGCAAAGGGTTGGTGAATGAGTTCGATGGTGATGTCGAGGTCTTGGATGATTTGAATGATCACTGGTGTTCCAAACATCACAAGACTGAGCGTAATAAGTTGATTAAAGACTTGATGGAGTTTGGTTCTCAAAAGGGTATCAGAATCACCATTTTATCAGGGGATGTCCATTTAGGTTGTATTGGTAGAATGAAGTCCAAATACCATCATCACCCCAATGCTCATATTTTGAAAGGAGCAAAAGAAGTTGAAGATTTGAATAAAGATTTGACTGCTCACCCTGAAAATGACCCAAGATTGATTTTCAATGTCATTTCATCAGCCATTGTCAATGCACCACCACCTGACGCGATGGCAACCTTGTTGAACAATCGTAGTGGAATTCATCATTTCAACCAAGATACCGATGAGGATATTGTGCCCATTTTCCTCAAGGATGCTGATGGGAAAGACAGAGCCAATCACCAGTTTTTGAACAAGAGAAACTGGTCGGATTTGGTTTTGGCCAAACAATCAGTAAAGTATAAATCATTAATAGGCGGGTCTGCTACTGAAGGTGAGGAAGAGGAAGAGGATGCTGCTGCTGCTGCTTCTGCCGACGCTGCAACTACCAAAGATGAATCACAAGTTGCCAATGGCAAACATGCTGTTTCTGACTCCTCTAACTCCTCCTCAGTGTTGAGAAAATACCCACAACCAGCATTTGACAATGAGCATGACACTGAACAAGGTGATTTCTTGCACGATCAAGAACCAAATGACAGGTTTATCAAGTATCCGTTGTTTGGAGACTCAATTGTCACTTCACTTCGAGTTGAAAAAGACCATGGTGATTTGGCAAGTAAGTCGACTGCGTATGAGGTGTTTATCCCTCCTTTGATTGGTAGTTATAAATTGGGCAGAGCCACAGTTAAGCATGTTGATGTATGAGGAATGAGTATCTGAAAGGATATGGATCCACCACTCAGCCCAAAGTTTATTAATTAATTAATTAATTTATTTATTTATTTGATGAAAATGCTGTTTAGTTTGTTTTTGAAGTTTAGTCTAATCAATGTACTATTAGTAATACAAAACGGAATGCAAAATAGGCTCTTTTCTTTGTGAGATTCGTTCATGTAATAGCAAGAGGTGGTCAACATGATAGATGAAGGAAGCATATACCGCACTTTACTTTAACACGTGATTTACACAAAGTATTGTTGTAGGGGAGAGAGGGTAGGAGTAGTAGTATCATTGGTGAACCTGGAGATTACATTCAACAGGAGCACATAGCTCCTGTACTAAAGTCATTATCATTGACATATTCACAACATGATCAGTGCGTGTCAAGCTCTGGTTTCTTTTGTATAAGTCGCTATTTTTCCACTTTCAAGGGACA